ACTTTGGCGATTTTTGATATTTTTTACGTGCTGACTAAGCATTGCTTACTAAGCTAGATAGAAACTACTAGATCTTAGCTTTTTAAATTACTAATTATTATATATTTAGCTATATNATCAGCCGAGATACAATAGTTTCAAAATATCAACTTTTTTTAGTTCTTTTTTTTTTTGCACCCCACTGTATATTGTGTGCGAGATTGACATCATCGGAAAATGCGATGAATTCGTAAAGTATATGGAAGAAGGCGGTGAATTTGTAGGAGATTTTTGGAGGACGGTAAAGGACTATGTGGCTTGATGTAGGTGTACAGTGATGTGATTTTTAGAAAATAGGGGCGTAGCCACAGCCCATGACTTGTGCAGGATTATGCTAAATATCCACGTGGTTTTGGTCGGTTTAAGTCGAAGTACCCCTCATGTCCCTTGGCATCGTAAGTTTCTCAGCACGTAGGGATGGACGTTATGTAATTGTATTACGAGCCGCGCAACGCGCTAACACACCCTGATCGCCCCCAATTGGGATGGGGCCTGTATTACGAGGAGAACTGAAATGTTGGCTTGATGATTGTGGTGTTCGTTGAGAGGACGATTTGTGCGAGTTTGGTATTTGGTGTCTGGTGGACGCTGGCGAAGACGGACATACAGGGGGTATGGGGAGTTAGTTCGTATATACATAGTAACGGCGTGTGCGCTTGTTGTGGGGTTAGTTAACTAACTATTTGCAAATATGGGCTGCCGCAATACCCACATCAGGTTAGCGTCGTTTTTCATGAACGAGAGCTCCTAATTAATGTGTTAGCTCCGGGCACGATTGTGTGTAGATATCGATATATTCTGGTTGATATGTATCAATTTCTGGCAACTAGTCATGACTAGTAAATAGTCTTTGGTCTTTGTTCTATTATTAGCACAACGTGAGGTACGAAGATTGACTAATCCTGTTGATTGCTCCGCAGCTGACTGCTTGCGCTAAGCTATGTACGGAAGGTGAGGCTGCCCAAAATTGATGTGCAGCTGCGTGCGAGGGTGAAGCCGCAATCGCGAGCGACTGTAACTAGCTATTCAGCGATAAGCCAATACATCGGATTAGTTTGAAGAAAATCACTTAGTAGAATCCGAGATGTTTCTAGTATACGCGCCCACCGTTTCTGAATTTCCCCTCCCCGCACCAAGCTTGACTCAGCCTCACTCATCTGCAAAGCAAACATTAGATTATCAATGCTACGTTCGATTACTGTTGTCCCTGTGAAGTATTGTACACTATCTATTCCAGCTTCCTTACCGCACTCCATGTCTCTTTAATAACCTGACCATCTTAACGTTGCTGCTTATTTTATTTGCAAGTGATGCGTCAAGTCTTAGTCTAACGCCGAGACCAAGTAAGTATTTGACTGTACTCAGATGCCCGTTGTTTACCGCTAGAAACAACGGTGTTTCTCCGTCATTGTCGGTTACATTCGTAGGACAACCTGCTTCAACTAATCTCTTAACATTCTCCAGCTTTCCATATTTCGCAGCATGTGATAATGGTGTACGGCCATCGCTTTCTACTATACTTTCGATATTCCCTTCTGTTGCAAGTACCATATCAACGATCTTTACTGAACATAAGGCAGCATGGGTTAATGCAGTGGCACCACAAAGCACGGTTCCCTTTGTAGCACCAAACCTTATCCATGCAGAGACAGCATGTATACCATTTTTCTCACCAATAGCGTGTGCCAATTTGGCGTCGCCGCACTTATATAGTCGGCCTGTGAGCGTCTGGCAGAGGTATCTGCATGTTTGGCATAGCGCATTGTGCTCGTTGAGTCGGAGGTATCCTGCTATTTCGCACAGCAATTCGGCAGGAAGTTTGAGGAGAAGCGTATTTTGCGTGGGCGCGGTCTCGCGCGACGATGGTTGCTGAGGGGTTCGACCGAGCTGGAGGCCTCGACGCTGTCTTCGTAGAACTTTGCTTTGATTTTTGATTGTCAACTTTTTATCCTCGTGAGGCCTGTGTCGCATCGCGCGTAAAATCAAAAAAACCTGCTTTGATGAAAAGTGGAAGAGGAAGACGTGAATATTTAGCTTGAGAGTCGTTGGTACTAAGGAAAGCGGACGCAGAGGGCAGTTGAGGCGTACTTATGTTCCCTTGCACTGCCATCGCTACCTAAAACCTTGGCATCTGCATCTGCATCGGCATAAGATAAGCAGCCAAGCCAAGCCACTGCAATATAACGGCAATCAAACACTAACCGAAAGCAGCAGGCGCGCAATGCGAAAGTACCAGCCGGGATAGCGACTGCGCACTGTTGCGCACGCCATGGCAGCCGCATTACCCTTGGGGCAGCCAGGCATCGTTGCAAGGTCTCTAATGCTTGTGGAAAAACCAAAACTTACTATTCTGCGCAACAAAAGTGTTGTGTTGAGGCTGCACCAGCGCGTTTCTCTTGCGCGGCAGGAAAATGTGTTCTGTAAAGAAGTCTACGAAGGTAGCAAAAGCTCCGTATTTTTCAATCTAGAGGAGTATTTTATATTCACAGATAGCTATAATACGCAGGCTAGTAACTTGACGAGATTTTTAATAGTGCGCGTAGAAACATTTTAGGACAAAAGCAAAGTACCTGTTGTTTGTTCCGCTACAGGGGTTGTTCCGTTTTGGTTGGACGCACGTTAGTATAGCGCCTTTTTAGCAGCCAAAACCATCCACCTTCAGAACGCAATAGCACAACAGCGACGAAAGATTGTGCTTTTTCAGTTGCTGGGGGTAAAATCCAGGCCGTTTGAGTATGTATGCTCTTCTTTTTGTTACTTTATTCAAATATGGAGTGGTGGTGTTGTAGTGAGGGTTTTGCTTATAGTCTTTGCGGTTATGGTATTGTAATTAAACTTATGTCATTCTAACAGCCAAGTGTGTCCGCTGTCAGCTCGTGGCTGAGCCCCTCTCTTGCCCAGAACCTGCCGCTCCGCGCGCATTTAGCTTTGCGACGCTAAGCCGACTTTTCTATGTGTCCTGTTAGTTACTACAATTTTCAGCTTCAGTCATTGCCCACACTCGGCTAATTTACGAATTTCTGCCATGGAACAACTGCAAGAGATCTTCCAACCTCACCAATTCAGAGCCGATGAACATCATATCGATCTATACCATGTCTACGACAACCTCTCTCGCACGCCATATCAACCTGGCATCGGCATTGAATGCGACGATCCTGATGAGTATTTTATGAATGCCTGGCATGTCATAACACCCACTGCGATGATGAACCATCTGAATTGGCGAAATCGAACTCGAACCCAATTTATATCTTTATACAACAACTTAGCCGATGCAATACGCGAGCAGCAAAGGCGGTGGAACCAGCCATTTGTTTATAATGTTGGTTATCGTACACCAGGCTCAGTCCGCATTGCGCATGTGCGGCTTTTACGGAATACCAACGTTTGGGCTTTCTCCCGTGCAGAAATGCTCAGCATGATGGGAATCTTTGGTGGTCAGGCGCAGCTGGAAATCCTTAAAACCTCTGCGCCTAGCGAGTGGTTTGTGTGGGGAGTCATACCGAATGAGTGTGTGCAGAACAGGCATTTTCTCTAAAAGCACCGCAATTGCGGCCTATGCCGATTCTAACCAGTAAGGAAGAGGCGGCGGATTATGGCTGCAATGGACAAACGTAACAGGACCAAGCGCAATTTTGTCAGGTGATAAATTAATTTATTATAATTCTTTAAATAAATCCCTCTAGGAAACGAGCGTGCAGTTAAAAAAAATACAGCGCTCTTGATCATACTCTCGATCGATCCTTTTACAGCATCTAGAAATGCGTTAGTTTTGCAATCCAGCTACATTACGACTATCTTTGAAATGCTGGATTTCGGAGCGTCAAACCGATAATTCTATAACAAAAGAAGATATTTTCGTGAATAATTAAATAAACAGCTAGGTTTCTAACTAGTAAAGATTTCAAGTCAGCAGATTACATAGTTAATCACGAGCTATTACCTGGTCAGACGAAACGTCTGACTGTTGTGTGATAACCCTGAAATGCTAACACTCTTGATTACACTCACAGCCGGTAGGCAGAACGAAGGATGCGACTTGAAACGCTACGCCGCAACCCTTCTAACCACGCCACAGTCATATGACATGCATAGTAGTTAGTATGCCTTGGCATAGGATATGTCGGCCAGAACCTATTCAGCTACGGTGATAGCTAGTCCATACACCTATATCTTTGTCAATCGACCAGACACGGACCACACTGATGTAATTCAGTTCAAGACTGGCGATGAAAGTTCCGGAAAGAAGCAAGGCAAACTTACGGCTGGTGGCAATGTCGTGGTTGCCAAAGAAGGTCCTATCGCAGCCTTGCAATATTATTCCGGCGATAATACCAAGGTCCATCACGTTGTGCTATATTTCTTTGGCGACGGTACGGGTCAATATTCTACGAAACCGAATGAAGTCAATGCTGCCAAGAAATTGACTGAAGTCAACGAGGCCAAACTCGACAATGCGTCCGAACCTGGTACCAATCCCTTGACAGGATGGCGCGTGGCTGGGACCGACATTACACTGCAGAGGACGTTAGGCCGGCAAGTTGACAGCAGTTCTGTCCTTGCTGCGACTGCTAGAGGAACCCAGCTCAATGTAGTGTTCACGGAAAAAGACAAACCAGACGATGTGCGTTATCAGTGGTATGATGGGAAACAATGGAATCAATCAATCTTTCCTTTGAATTCTTGACGAACTGGGTTTTTGGGTGGTGAACACGACGGAACAGTACCTTATCCATTCCTTCTAAGGTGGAGCAGTCCTCCGGCATGTAGTAATCCTAGCTCATATCAAATTCTGACCTCTTTGCAACTTACAAAACTCCTCCCTTGGTAAAATCCGATCCTTTCACGGCGAACCAATACGGCAGATGCATACTATTATCAGAACAAAGATCTTATTGATATAAGTGTCAAGTGTCATGTTATACTAGCATTAAGCGGCATAATTATATGACAGGCTCGTCTTGAACTTTTCGGCATCTTAAATGCCAAGAACTTTGCCAATAGATTGTACACGTATGTCCTGGTGGTTTTAATACGAACTACAGTGGATGGTATCATACAAGGATTGATTGACAGTTCTCAAGTTGTTCACTAGAACTTCGAATGGAAAAGGCATGTAAGCATCGCCCAGCAGGCCTTCGAAAAACAGGGCAAGGGAAATGGTCCAACTTTCAAGAGGAAACTCAACGTGCGATCTTGGCCCAAGATTGTGAAACATAGCGACACGATCTTCAAAGTTCGCTTGGGCCGCTAACTTTTGGAGGGGGTCTTCAAAAGGCGACTGTGCGGCACCAGGGGAAGCCCTGAGCCTTTTGATAAGATCCTCCCAATGGATCAATGCTCGGTTGAAATTTCTGAACTGAATGTCCAAGTCACTGTATGGTTTGCGATGGGGGCTTATCGCGTAAAGCTGCTTTGTAGGCGGTATAACCTCATCTAGGATACCAGTGTAATCTGGCTCGCTAGTCAGGAAACGGGCTAGGTCGCATCGTAGTTTTCGCTTCATTTGATCGGTCTTAGACAGGTTGTCTTCATTAACGTCAGTGTTTTTGTTAGCCATGTCTGATGTTATGACATCGGTGGAGGTGTCATTGGGCAGATTGACACCCGCTGTAGAGGTGACTTCTGGACTCTGTTGAGGAGATCGAATGTGCGATCGACACTGTCGGATTCCTGTCCTTCGGCGCTTGGATCGGTTTACTACCAGAGGAAAGTCTACATCTGATTCGAAGCTTGTGAAAGAGAATGATTTGTCCGAATCGCTCGAGTCGCCTGAGCGTGCTCTACTCCTAGATCGGCTGCTGTCTGCTGTAGAGTTTCCCCCAACTGTCGTCGAAGAATGATTTCTGTGACGTTTTAACAACGGCACGAGATCAGACGCAGCGGAAGAGACCCTTCGCTGAGCGAGCTCAGGCAGGTGCGGACGTGATGGTGACACAGGTTCTGGTGATACCTGTGCAATGCGTTCCACTGTCACTAAAGGAATAGGTTTCTTCTCGTTACAAGGTGCATTGATCTTGTTTTGTATACGAGCAGCAATCCAATATCGAAGCCACAGCTCAATACTGTAAATATCAGCATCTTCTTCTTAGATACCTATAGGCTGTAAAGGTTTACCTGTCTTCATCATTGCTCTTATATCCGGAGTCTGTGTGAACACCCCACCGTGGGCGTTCCCCTGGTAGATTGCTCTTTAGCCGTATCTCAGCTCCGGAATCTTCACCCCATATACGTTGGCCAAGACGTAACTCTTTGAGTATATATACGGCTTCCTTCTTGAGAAAAGCGGCGCCACCTGATTCCTCATAACGCTCATGCTCGTTCTTCACATACTTCTTGATCACTTTTTTCGCTTCTTCCTCAAGTTTAAGAACTTCCGAGTCTAAGAACTTGGGATATTCTACTCGATCATTCTCCGCAACAAGCCACAGCTTCCGGATGTACCATCTGGGGTGCTCCGCTTCGATATTTGTGAATCCAAGCAGATCGTGCTTGTCTGGTTCGGTTGGCATGTTTTCTGTACTCTGATTTTGGGCGTAATACTTCATCCAGGTATGAAGAATATGGTTCGATTCGAGCGGCATCCCTCGTGAAGGCTCGGAAGTATCTAGCTTGAGGTTCCGCTCGCGGTCTGGTCGCTGCGCTGTTGCTACGTGACGTTCGTGGCGATCGAGTGGGACTACGAGTTAGAGGATGTATTAAAAGACATCTTCGCGAAACACGAACACTTAGGAGGAGGTATGCTTAGGAGGAGGTATGTTGCGCAACTGCTACAGCTTGCGAGCGCGCTCTCAGTGTGACACAGTCAGAAACCAGGATGCTCACTCGGCTTGGCGCCCGATTTAGCTTGGCATCGGTAGCGCGTGTGGTCAGCGCGTGAACACCCCACCAGAATCCGCGCTCACCAAAATGAGGCTGCAGAGTCCCATACAAAGGCTACTGTCACGAGGTTCCTTGTTGGAGTACTCTAGAGGGCTATTTTATATTGGTATCTACTTATGTCTTCTTAGTAACTTGATGATACGGCCGCGCGTGGTGGTTCTGGGGGAGGCTTGACAGGCGGTGACGCATGATGCACCACTACTACCACCTTTGGCACCGCCAACACGACGTCGCTTTGATGTTTTCAAATCTTGAGACGATGAACTTAGGATATCCTTCTACACAGGGACTGATGGCAAATAGAAAAGCAGATTTCGGCCTTACTTATTGTCGCAGCCTATGCAAGGCTGCATAAGCAATGACTTCAGCTGAGGCAAAGCAACAAGCCACTGTGATGGCAACAAGGATGTACCACCTCAACAAGAAAACACAATATTTATACATCACGAATAAATGAAGATGGTAGATAACAAAAACGGTACAGATCATTTGATCGCATCTACGCGTGCGACATAACGCGACAAAAGGCATCTCTCCATGCAACCCACTCCATGACCGACGTGATCTATCACCGCACAACGTCAAACGAACCCGTATTGCACACGCGCTAACCGTAAGCCTGTAGTGCAACGCAATGAACAATATGCACTTCCAGGTACAAATTGGAAGAAACGTATCACGTTCATAGCTTAGCATTGCATGATAAGGGTTTTCAACACCGCTCCCCGCTTGCAGCAGGTACCTTGACATGGATTGTATCTTCAGACTTCGAGCTTGTACTCCTCCGCCGTGTATATAGCGCTTCAGAAGAACGATCAGCGCTACTCGGCTTGGCAACTTCTTGATGAACTTTTCTCTTCTGACTGCAGCGACTCCTACCACGCTTCGTGCTGGTTTTCGGATGAGACGGAAAATGGGTACCATTCCTGCACTCTCCTCGCTCAGTCTCCTTACTGTCTTCGCCCTCGGTGCAACGATCAGACTCTTCTTCAGATACGCCGTTCCGCTCAGTTCGCACACATGCCATACCAGAGTTAATCAACAAACCTGGCCCTATAAACTTGCGCCCCCGGTGGGGAGCATCCCACTCCACAAAGGGAAATATAAAAAACTCTTCCGCGCTTTCACTCTGTTCGCGACCATACTCTTGAACAACCCACCCCGATTGCTGAATTTTCATCCAGTTGTGCATACGCCCGGGAGACACCTCGTGCGGCAGATGAAAAAACACAGTGAATTCAGAGAACCTCTCCGGGACGCTACCCCATACGGTGGTCTTGCCCCCGCTAATCCTCCCTCTTTTAGTCGCTTTGCCAATCCATCCAAGCGCGCCCTCCAGTCGCATGTTGTGCTTTGTGCGCGCTATCGCAACCTTTAGTTGATCCTCGAACTCCGTTTCGGTAAGGTGTTTCCCACGACGCGTCGCTGAATAAACAAATCGCCTGCTTCGCAAGGCCAATATATCTGAGACCGTACCCATTACCGCTACACACAGATTAATAAAAAAAAAAGCTGCCCAAACTAGGGGCATGATGACTCCTCACCTTTCGTTTCACAACACAAAAGATGGCAAAAAACACCCTGTTTGCGTCCAACACAAACAACTAACCCTTGTAATTTCCACTTCGTAGGTGCGCAACACCCGCGCTAGCATAAGTACGTGAATTTCATATACGTGTCCGCGTCAACGACCTAATGCACAACCCATTGCATCAACCAATACAATAACGTCAGGACCTAACATGACCATGCTTCGCAACAATATACCTCCGTATCCCGATCTCCTCCTAACCAAAGAGGGTAGAGGCCATGGTCTAACTGTAAACAGCTTACCTCCGGTCTGTTGGTGCCGACTGCCCGTGGCATACAAGTAGAACTGCAATGTAATTCGACCAAGGCCCAACGAGAAGACTTGGCAAAGTCCTAAACATCTTTACAAAGGAACCTTAATCCTGGCCTCTTTCGCCGCCTCATATTGGTTAGGCCTCTTTCGTTGCCTCATTGGTTAGAGTTGACTTGGGCTTGACTTGGGGTTAAGCCCTCAGCGCAACCCTAAGCTAGCACAAGCTATGCCCACGAACACTAACTCTCTACCCTATTTTATCTAATAACTAACTTACGCTAGTTATATAGTTAACTGGTTAATTAATTAACTAGTCGTAATTGCATTGGATTGGATTCTTATCGTACTTCCTCTGCCTTGTTTCAACCCACAGTGTAGCACCGGACTTGTTTTCAATACCGACACTATGTTTTCCAGGCATTATGATCTTTATTTGACTATCTGGGCATTTGGTGTTACTCAGAAACTTTTCAAACTCCTCGACGCACTTATCATGACTGATGTCAACTGGGCCAGCCCCCACATTATCTTCCCAACGCATCTTGTAGATCCAATCAATACGACAACCCAGACCATCTTCGAGTCTCATAGTTACAACCAACTCCTCTCCATTCTTCAACTGAACGCCATTGAGGAGATGATTATGACAATACTGCTCAAGCCCCTAACGATAAAAATCTTGAGTTGGGTTATGGCCAGTAAAGGGGTTGTTGCGAGGAGAGGCACAAGATATATCTACATCATCACGGCTGAGCAGCTGAGTCGTGGATATCGTTTCAACAAGCCTTGATGTAGCAGTTGCCAAAAATGTACCTAGAATAGTAGCAACGCGCACCATGGTTGCAGCAGAAGTGCGAAATGAACATTCACGGTACTGCGAAGTTATGAGAAATACAGAACAACGCGTACGTGCAGTTGAACCAAAAGCGCAGTATATTGGGCCACTTTGGGGTTCAAATCAATTGTGAAGGTCATGGGACCGATGACCTAGTTGAAACGGCTTAGGCAAGCGGTAATAAGCAGCTTATAACTAGTTACTTAGGTTACTGATTAGAACAGCGATCTGATCGCGTGCGCACGGGCCTTGCAACATCAATGGGATTCCTCAACACCATGTAGCTAGTTACACCAATATAGCCTCCCTTTCTAATTAAACTTCATATTGGTTAGGGATTGAGGATAGTGATTGAGGATAGGGACTCCCTTCATTCGTATTATAGAGTGAGAGTTGAAGTTCTCTAATGAAATGTTAAGTATTCGTGTTGTATGCATGTTTTACGAATGGTCGCCGTTCATGTCAAATCCTCGTCATCGGGATCTGTCGTGTGGAATCCGTCGCATGATGCGCAAGAGAAAGCCGGGTATATATTGACCATTGGTGTGTGATGTATTGGGTTCCCGGTTTTCTTCCTACACTTAGGACACACCGGCTTGCCCGTTTTACTGACAGACGTTATATTCGGGCAATCGCGCGATCCAGTATGACTGTAATGGCAATGATCACAAATGAAATGATGTTCGGAGACTCCTTCTACCTTAGGTCCATATCGCCCACCTAGCAGAAGGTCTGTTGCCAGGTCTGCGTTTGAACGTAGGACATCGAGTACCCTCTCCTCTCGTAGGGTTGCTTTTAACATCCAATGGCGACCCGCAACGGCAGCGATGACTGAGTTCCTTAGCTCCATATGAGCTGGTGGCACAGTTGTCGTGTGGTCGTAGACAAAAGCAGCAGTTACGGCCCAGTCGCTGGGATTAACAGTCATTACCGTGTCCGCAAATGATGTTTTTGCAAGCTTGCAAAGAGATGCACAGTCGTATTTGTCGGCGATTATAGTAACTTGTGCGTGAAGGAGAGGTTCTATAGTGTCGAATTTAGAGACATTATAGCCTGCCTCGTAGATGTATGACACCATGCAGTCAATTGCATTCGTGTATACTGGATCATCTTGCAAAGTAATTGCTTCACTGCTTGTCTCCTATTATACAAGTTAGGCCTTGAAAATACTTCGGTCACAATGTCCTACCACTAAGCCGCCAGTGAGAGCCTTTTGAAACCATTTGGAGTGACAGACCACAAGGGCTTTGTGGATCCGCCAGCTCTTGTCGCTAAAGTTCAGGGTCAGATCTGATAGATCACCAGATATCAAGTACGAGAGGTCGCGAACATAATTTTCATAAGCCATAGCTGCCCGAGCTTGTGACTGCCAGCTTATCAATAAATAAGGTTTACGAGCGGTTCAGACCCCGCTCGCAACGCGCCACATTCTTGAACGATGACGTACGGTATCGCTAACTACCTGAACCTTGTTCAAATTTCCGAAAATCGGCCGTGCACGCGTCACGCGTCAACCCCCCTCCGCCCAACGGTCTTTTTTCCAGCCTCCTCGTATCCTCATCCTACCAGACAGAAGTAGGCTTCAATATTTCCTTTTTCTCCATTTCTACGCTCCAAACGCAACTACTAATGCAAGACAAGAATAGTGCTTATCAGTGAAGTTGGCTTTACTGCGCATCCTGCTGCCAGGAGCATGCAATATTGTGTGGATTCACGCTAGACCCAAAGCACGTAGAGTAGAGGATGGCGCCATACTACAAGTAGACTAGTTACGTTAACTTAGGGTTAAGCCCTAAGCGCGACTCTTACTGGGCACAGGTTACACCCACGAACACCAACTCTCTGCTAGACTTTATCTAATTAATAACTTACGCTACATCTCTTGTAGCATCGTAAAAGTCAGTACGTTAGATGCGCGCGAATTACCTGTAACATATACTTAAGTTGCAGCTGCTTTCTATGACTGAGGACTAAGGAGAGGGGTTTGTTCCAAATCTTAGAGAATAAGCACCCTGCGAACCAAGAGCGCGGGCCATAAAAATGGAACAAAAGTTTGTTCTCCGTGGAATAACTGTCAGAGGTGAAGCCGCAATCGCTAATAACTCTACAATTAATCAGGATTGCGGCTTTACCTCTGCGCACAGCTGCGCAACGGTTTTGAGCAGTCTCATCCTATCCCTAATCCCTCATAGGATTAAGGTCGAAATCAATCTTGATCCAAGATTTCTTAGTGACCTTGCAGACCTAACCAATATGAGACGCGAACTGTACCTAGTAGTTATATAATGCTACGTGGATTCGACTTCAATTCATCCTAACCTGGTAATTACGCACCCCTGATCCAAAAATGCGTGTATTCAACGCGGATCGGACACTAACCATAGCCCACTGTAGTCTAGCGCGAATCCATCCCTTGATTTTCGCGGTTTAGCTCTAGCGCAAGCCCCCTATGCTACCCCCCTATGCTAATAGTTATCCTATCCTTAGTATATGATGCTACGTGAATCTGACCCCCGATTCATCTTAATTAGGTAATTGTGCACCCTGAATCAAAAGCGCGCGTATGCTAACTCTCGCCTATTATAGGCTAGCGTGAATTGCCACCTTAGTTTCCGCGTTTTAGTTCTAGCGTAAGTCCCTGTTACAGCCACAGGCAAACTGCTTACGCCCACGGGAGAGCAGAAAAGAAAAGAAGGAAAACATTTGCACAGCACGCAACTATACAACTTCTGCGTGTGTGCCTATTTACGGGCCCCCACAAGCTTGCCTCGAAAGAATTGGCATACAGTTAGTGAGCCTAGCAAGTGATCTTGAAAGAGTTGGCTGGTCCCTTGGGCTCGCATTGGCCTTCGTTCTCCTTGTGCACTTCTGCTGTGCCGGTGCAGTCGCCTGCTAGGTAGAGATTCACTACAAAACGAAATCACTTGTCAGCTTCTCCACACATACACATACGTATTCTTGAACAAGGGCTAGGCATGGTTACAATACCTTGGCAGGATGGAATGATGGCATCAAAACTCTTGATGTAGGTGCTACCGGGCCACATGCTAAAGCACTGGTCGGGAGGCAGCTGAGAGCGTGTGCCGACGGAGCAGAAGGTGCCGGGTTCGGGGTTGCATGCGGTGCAGTTCCAGGTGGTAAAAGAGATTGAGTCGTAGGCTGTGGCTGTGGCGGAGATGAGGAGGAGGCTGGAGAGCCACGAAATGGGAGTTGAGGGACGCATATCTGATAAAAAGGACATATTATTTTCACTTGGTTCTGTCAACTGAGAAGTGGATATTTTATTCGTGTTATTTCTTGTGACAGAATGAATATCTGGCTTTATACATCGATATAGCGATTTGAGGCGCCCAGCGGGGCGAAGAAAAATGAAAAAGGCGGTGGAAAATCCTCATCTTCGTACTGATGACAAGCTGACTGTGGAACCGCACTGCCATTCGCACAGCTCTGTTGTTTGGTGTTGGGCTTACTTGAAGATCTGAAATCTTGAGACTTAAAGATAGGCATGCGTACTACGTATACCATCAGCCAACTATAACCCAAGCATCGTAGGTACACGAATTTCAGAGGCGTTGTCTAGTTAGTAAATAGGAGGGCCAATGGGCTTCTCATGTTTGGGTGTAAGACTCGTTTGTCAGCGTCTGATTGGAGAGACACGAGATATCCCTTGATAATCAGATGATGATTATAGTGTGATGTTTTTAAGCGAGACGTTCGTGTTCGTGGCAATACTGGTCAGGTCATCCTTCAAGACCTAACTGAGCGATTGTCAGAAGGGGAGATAGGGGTGGGTTGTGGTCATAGTGCACAGCGCTGTACATACACAGCTTCCCTGTAAATTCGACCAAGACTGTTGTAGTTTTGCTTCCTGATGCTCGGGGTGAGTTTTGCTACTTAATAAGTACACTAGTTAATCCCTTGATCAATGCGGGGTAATTTAGTAGTCGAACATTGTATAGGGAAAGTGAAACACCGCGAGACAGTACTTATTTTGAAGTTTAGTGGTCATCAGTGTTATAGTTTTATGCTCTTTCATCTACACTTCGCCAATTCGTATTGCATGTCTTACTTGTCACAAGTTATCATATCCCATACCTGATATGTAGCGTAGGGGCATGACCTGAACATAATCAATTAAGACTACAAGTCGAGATACCAAGCAAGCACATAGTCAGCCACCGCTAATAACAACAAAGTTCATCACTACTTTCTATAAGCGTAAGCTGGTCAGACGAAACGTCTAACTGCTATGTGATGACCCTGAAATGCTAGCACTCCTGATTACGCTTACAGCTAGTAAGCAAGACGAAGGATGCGACTCGAAACGCTGCCCCGCAATCCTTCCAACCATGCCATAGTCACGTGACACAATCAGTGATCAGCATGTCTTGGCGCCACTGAGAAATTGAGCAGGCTAGGACGATGAATTTGAAACGCGCAGCTAACCTCCCACTTAGGGGTGGCTGGCATACCCGTAATGATGCACGTTGACCATCGCGACTATGGAACAGCACCAAGAAAGCCGTTCGACGCGAGCCAGACAACTGGTTAGAGATAAACCTTTTCCTACTCTTCACATAGCACAGCTGACAACCAACATTCTTCCATCGCTGGAATGTTTCACATAGAGCCTGTAGCCGGCGACGTGAATTTCACTTGTGGTCAAAGTCTATTTCACAGCTATTGACATGTGCCGAGATCAATTTTCTTTCCTTAATGACACTGTCACGCTTAAATGGACTTGGGCGCCCAAAGATAGGCAAGGACCCTGGCCAGAGGTTCTTGGGAGCACTGTTGTAAAAGGCAGATTCAATAGCTGTTGCCCATAGACCGTTGCCTACTCTATGACTTTCATGCATGAGTGCAACATGGCTGTCCCCCACGAGCGGGCATTCTATTTCACCTTGAGTGATAGAAGCAGTACGGGGCCGTTTCGAAGTCCCTTGGTCAATAGATGACGGCAATACTCTCTTCTGAGCTTTTGTTGTCTCGGGACGGGTGTTGTCAGTTGCAGGTTGCAGCTGCAAGAACTTATGCCACTCGTTCGACGCCCATTCGTAAACTCGCAGTAGCGCAGGTTGGAGCGAGTCTGGGAATGCGCCATCTATGCCGTATGTTGTGCCTCTTTGTAACGGTCGATGCCCACTTTGCCATGCAAATACCACATTGATATCAGCTTCTGTGCTCCGATCGTCATGCTGATTAACAGGTTTCGAGATTTGTCGAACGTGTTTCTCTGTAATAGCGATCGATACCTGCCGATATATCTTGACACTTAGTGGGTTACCTAGCATAAGCGTAGTTTGGCGCATGAGTATTTTCGTGAGTGAGCTCGTCTTTAATGGTTTGCTTGGGGAACTTGGCGAAGAAAAGAGCAAGGTGCTATCTATGTCCATCCCTAGACAAGCTCGATAAAGCATGCATGCAAAGGGCCGTATGAACACAAGGTAATAGTACATAAGTCTGCCCGCCTCTTCTGAAAGAAATCTAACGACGATAAGTTCGCGGTTGGTTGCCCGGCGGGATTTACCGTGCCTAAAGACCAGAGCCATCTTACGCGAGTACACACATATACCACGAGAGGTGGAAGGACCATTGCAGTGCTCAAGAGCCGACAGCTCGGTAACTCGTGGGGCTTGCCCCCTACGAGATAGGCCAATAACATCACCAACTCAGTCATTTCGGAGTATTGGTCCAAGTACTGACGAACGGCTTGGCGATTCCAGTCGTTGTCTGTCATCAAGCCGCTAACAGTGTCAAGAGAAGCCCTGCGAGATAAGTCCAGGTACAACTCCGCAAGGCCGTTTGCCGTATCAGTCACGAATGAATAGCCGGCAGTAGTGCAAGCGAGATTATCGTGTATGCAACTCAAATCGAATAGCGGACTCCAGCCATACATTAGTTGTTTGCACAAAGGCGACGCGGCTAGCAGGTTATCGTGGCTAATCTGCCGGAATTGTGCCATAGACAGCTGCGCGTTGTCCCAGGAAACGACCTGCCCATCCTCACTCCAGGTCACACGAAACGACGGACCGTCAGAACGACTAATGACACGCCCATGATCGCGCAGGCTGAGAAGCTCGTTCATTGGTGCTGGCGATCCTAGGCACAAAGTCTTTCTGCGAACCTCGTTAAGAAGATCAGTCTGCCCGTGTCGTAGCCTGGCTGTCCACCCCAAGCGGACATGAGCGAATCGAGGAAGAGTGGCTTCAAGAACGATCATTCTCACACAGTATATCATGGCTGACAACTTTGATGTATAGCTTTTTGCGCGTTCAAAAGTGGATCCATCGTGGCTGATCCCTAGAACGCCGCTGGCATAGATTAGCAAAGTAGAGGATGGCTTCCCGTCTTCATATTCCTCGGTCGACAGGAACTTCACAAAGCAGAAAATCACATCTTCTAGCACACTGGTCCACTGTGCGTTTGTCGTATCTTCTTCAGCTTCAGGATTGCCTTCGTTATCAGAATCAACTGGGATGGAGGCTGTGTCTTCGACTGCAGGTTGCTTTGATAGATAGACTAGCTGGGAGGTGGACTAAGTACAGGGTAACTGCCAAGGCGCTATACTCAAAAGGGTAGTATCGGCCAGGCCATCCATCACATTGCCCACCCAATCTTAACATAGATAGCAAGTTAAAATACGTTCCCATTCTATACACTTCTTACACATGTATATATCATTCTGGATTTTATTGTAGATTAGACTGGTAAATGGGTAGGGGGCACCCACCGTGGGTAGGGGGTAGGGCTGGGTTGCTGTATAGCATGGGCTTGGGTTTGAAAATAATTAACAGTTTAACTGCGCACGGCGTGTAGGCATCAACGACGACGTAGTTTTTTGTATTTTAAAGTGTAGAAGTAACTATTGAGGCTAAAGAGGACTAAGAAGCTATGCACACAAGATTGTAGATTATTCATAGGCGCTTAGAAGTTTATAATTTCTTGATCTCAAAGTAGTTATCTGCTGTTTGTCTCGCGACGGAGTGCGTCTCGTGACTTAGAGATGGACGTTATCCTAATTAGTTAACTTAGTTTTGAGAGAAATATTGTGAAACAGGAGATCCCGATGTGGAAACCCGTTTACCACCCTAGATATAACTAGATATAGATATAGACATAGATGTAAATGTAGATATGAATACAGATGACTATGGATTGTACATAACTAGTATGTGACATAACTATACCCTATCGCGTCACGTCGCGTTGCGTCGCGTATTAGGTGTCTAGGCAAGATGAGTGTAACTATGTATAGAGCTGCTGGGAGTAGAAGAACAATTGCTTTAGGAGCTTCTTCATTTTCTCTTTCTATTCAGATGCTTCGTCGCTGTCCGCTTCTAGCCTTGTTTGCATCATTCAGTCTCGCTTTGTTGCCTTCGTGTTACGAGCAACTGTGGTAAGTGCGTCACTACGACTCCGATTTGCGGATGTAGTTATATCAGCGCTACAATTAAGTAGCAGCTGGGTTACCTCTCCATGACTATTTTCAGAAGCTAATCTGAGGAGATTATTTCTAGAACTGCCTCTCTTCATGTCTGCGCCTGCATCGAGCAGTAACTTGACAATGTTCAAGTAGCCTTCACGTGATGCGGCATGTAGCGCAGTGCCATTGAAACTGGTAGAATTTACCTGAGCTCTGCAGCAAGATCTCTACAACATCTTCGTGGCCGTTCGAGGCAGCTTTAATGAGCGCGGTACTTTCGCCATTGCATTTGTCATTCATCTCAGCTCTGTTTCCCAGCAAGAGCTCCACAACATTTTTGTGACCGCTTGACGCAGCTTCGATGAGCGCGGTACTTCTTTTATATATTCTTTTGTCTACCTGAGCTCCACCGTTCTGCAAGTACCTCACCAGTGCTTCTTCGGGGTTCGAGGCAGCCTTGGTTGGCACACTACTTCCTCCATATCTTTTTTTGCTTACATGGGTTCCGTTTTTCGAGAAGCGCTCCAAAATATTGTTGTAACCGTTTGAGGCAGGGTCAAAACGGGGAATTCTTTCAGGATTGGATTGGTCATTTATCTTGGCTCCACTTTTCAATAAGAGCTCCACAACATCTTGGTGACCTGCCGCTGCTGCGGCGTGAAGAGGCCCACGCCATTTTCCTCTTCTAATGTTGAGATTTGCCCCAAAATCAATTAGTAGTCTCACTAAAGGTTCGTTCCCGTGACTTGAAGCTATGATGATAGCATTTTTCTTTTTCGTCATTCTCAGCGTGTATGTTAACTTTTTCCGTGACTTGTTTGTCTTGAACTGTCATTCCTTCACTCTGCAGCCATTTTCTAATCATCTCCTTTCGTAAACCCGCCTTTTCCGTGTCAATGCCTGGGTTGTCAAGCAGTAATTCAATGTCCGCAAGTTTACCTTGACCAACGAGTTTTAGCAGCATATAATCAATCTGACATAGCTCAGAACTCCTAGCATCGCCTCTTTTTCTTGTATTCTTGCGGCGCGGGTTGGTACGCAGGCTTTCTTTACCCATAGCCTGTTTATCGGCACCGCTCATGACGGTCTTATACAATACTAAAGTGTATTGATTGTTCAGATATTCCGTGGCAGCGAGGCAGCACTTGCGCTTCGACACGCTTGATCCGTTCCTATATTTATGCGTCGTTGAGCTCTCGATCACTGTGCACACAGAAAAAATGTCCTCAGGTTCCTTTATAGAAGAGTAGAGATGGGCAGACGTGTGCTTCACTCGATATGATTTGGAACTGATGTAGCTAGCCTTCATGCAGACTTTAAATGAGTCAAGTGCATGACGAATTCGCGACGGACATAATGTAACCTTCTTGCAGTAAGCAGCTCACGCCTGTTATACCAGCTTGGCTACATGGTATATCGGCCTCCGGCGCTATAAACGTGCTATCAGCTATGCTACTTCTGTGTATTTACTCTCCTCTAACATCCCCTTGCTCGTTTGTAACAATATACAGCTATCAATAAAGAACTTAATAGAATTGAAAGAGAGATAAGATACACTCTCATGCACTTGCAGCTTCCGCTTTGCGCACGCGGCTCGATTGTCATCCCACGCGGGACACGGATCCGCCTGGCATACGCTTATATAGAAAAGTCTTAGGCTCTACAGGTGTAGCTGGTCAGTGCGTGCACATGTGCAGTCCATGCACACCCCCCTGCATAGTCCAAGCTTCAACCCACTTTCTTCAACGCGTGATAACTCCACAACCATGACAGCTCTATCAAAAGCGATTGCAGCAATCGATTCACAAGGTCCAGAAGGATAAATCTTGCACTGTGCAGCTGCTAAAAAACTTGGTGTTGAGCGCATAATACTGATGTGTAGACATAGATATGAGACGCGCTCCTATGCTGACGCTGCAGACCAACGACGATTGATCACCACCTAATAAGAATCCGAGCTTGTTAAGTATATAGAAAGACCATTAGAAGAAGCTCTCCCACCTATAAGAGCCATGATTAAAAAAATATGTAGCGTATATTGCAGAATGGGAGCCTTCAACTAGCTGGGTGATATGATTCCTTTAGAGGAATAAGGACACTCTTACTATTAAAACTGCTCACGGTCTTGATCGCGATCGTCACAAAGCTGATAACATCGAACAATACCATAACTACTTCCGTCTTATCCACGACAAGATCGAGAAATATGATGTGGAGCCGCAGAACATATATAATATGGATGAGAAGGGCTTTCTTCTTGGGGTGACTTCAAGATCTAAAAGGATGTTTTCCAAACAACTTTGGGATCAGAAGAAAGTTAATTCAGCCTTAAGAGACGGTAGTAGGGAGTGGATAATAGTTATTGGGTGTATTTGTGCGGATGGGAGCTGGGTAGATCCTATGGTGATCTTCGAGGGAAAGGGTGGCCTTCACGACAGCTGAACACCGGATCTTTTGCACCAATAGCGCGTCCGGCTGGAGCAATAACAACCTTGGAGTATCTTGGCTTCGTGAGGTCTTTGACCGCAAAACAAAAGACAAAGCTAAGCGCGGTTTCCGGATGCTACTCCTTGATGGACATAGTAGCCATGTTACCCCTGGGTTCAGAGACTGCTGTACTCACCACCGGATACTACTCGCAGTGCTGCCACCTCACTCCTCTCATAGACTCCAGCCGCTCGACGTGGGTATGTTCAAGCCTCTCTCCACTGCGTACACGAACGAACTCAACGTCTTCCTCCAGCGATCTGCTGGATTGTCAAGCGTGCAGAAAAGTGACTTCCTACGCTTATTTTGGCAGGCGTTTACATCTTCGTTTACTACTGATAATATATTGAGCAGCTTTGCTGCCACAGGAGTCTCCCCGCCGAATGCTGAAGTCGTACTCGAACGACTCCGAATTCCAACACCACGACGGAATACGGACACACAAATTGGATACAATGGTGATGGGGATGCATAAAGACACGTCGCCCATTTGGTTGATGATGCGGTGGTGGATTCTTCGACAGTTCAAGTAAAAAGGGTGAAGCAGGTGCTTCATTCATTTCAAGTCCAAAATGAGCTTCTCCACCATGAAAACCAAGAACTGCGCGCTGAAATCACCACCAAAAAAACGCCCAAAGAAGCATAATAGGATTCTGCAACTGCAGCAATATAAAGAGTATCAGAGTCCGGCGGTGGTGTACAGTCCTAGCACAGTTCTGGAACCAAGAGCTCAAAAACGTCAACGTCAACATCAAGAAGAGCTTGGTCGACGCCAAAAGCGAGGGGAGAAACAACAAAAAGCTGCTCAAGCTGCCTATGAAAGAAAGATTGAGATAGAGCGGAAGAATGCGCGTGCATTGGAGAGGAAGAAGCGGAGGGAAGAGAAGCAAGTAGCGGCATTACAACACGCCGCCGAACGCGCCCAAAAAGCTCGTGATCGCGCTGCTGCAACCACAAGAAAAGTTCAAGATAAGCAAATTAAAGGTATCCGAAAAGCTTCACCAATTCAGAAATCAAACATATATAAGCGTGGTGGTGTCGCGCGACGCCGAAGTGGAGGTGCACCTGCACCCCCGCAGCTTCCCACCAAAACCACCACGCGTGGCCGCAACATCAGACTGCCAAAGAAACACGAGCAGATAGCAATTTATCACAGCTTCATAAGAGTACTCCACCAAGAAATCTCGTGATATCAACGTTTGGGTGGCGCTGTATAGCCTCATGTTTGGGTTGCCGACATGTTGGGCGAGGTGGTGCATGGGCTGCACATGTGCACGCACTGACCAGCTAGCTACACTACACAACCAGCTACACTATGGTCCGTGCTAACTTGGGGTTGCTTGTGCGCTCACCGTCAAGACGCTTACCACAGTCGTTACAGGACACTAAGCCAATTTTGCAAGTGGGTATAGTTACTCCCGAGCACATCCTTTTTTTCTGCGCCAGGTTGTTGGGGCTTATTGGGGATGACATGTTAGCAGGGCTCGCTGATAGTAGTGGGTCTAACTACAAGACACATAGAAGCGTCATGGACAATGGGATTACTATGCTAGGTACTAGCCATACCCCACTGCAACATATTTACATAACTAACACGCATTGCACGAGAAACACAAGACTTCAGTCCATTGAAAATAGTGCCCATTGGTGAAAATTTGATTTCTTATCAGTAATTATGCCTACAGGTAAGCAGCATGGAAATACATCTATGGTTTTGGATACTCTCAGGAATTTGACAGCTGTTTGCTTACAGAGCAAACATGCTAAGTCTCTGACTGGATTTAATGAGAGAATGTCATACATGCCTCCTCCAGATGGACCCGAGAGGGGTTGGCTGTTATAATTTCTTCACCTTGTCTCGCTAGATACAAAGGATAATATGTACATTCTATCGATTTAAAGATTCCAGTTTCTACATGATACATAGATTGTAACCCTCGCAAACCCATTATTTTGCTTAGTGTAGTTATATCTACCTAGAACGTCACACGCTCCACGGGTGTTGGATTTCAATTGGTTCGGGAGGTTCGCGGCGAAATGACTGAACGCATGGCTAACGAGAGCTAAGGTTATTTGATAAATCTATTATCACGCGAAAGTGTTACCAAAGACTAATTATATGTATTGTGGGCATTGGAAACTGAGGCTTTGTGAGAGTATAGATCGGTACAATCCAGACCCATGAAGACCTCCAAAGCAGTTCATAGAAACTCAAATGGAGATGAAGAGCGGTCTTCCCCGGATGGAAATGTTCTAAACGCCTCCTCCCGCTCCGCATCCTATACCGCAACCACCTGTTCTCGCGATCCCCGACAAGATATGCTCCAGAGGGGTCGCATTTCGTCGCTTATCCATGCCATGGCGGCTCTGCATCTCGACAACGGGAGGACGGAGGAGATAGTAAAGAGAGAATACGAGGTGCTTAATCCAATCAGAACAGCGCAAGTGCCTCGGCATGCAGTGGGTCTGGATAGCGAATATGTCTTTGTGGATAAGTGACTGCGCGCTAGCAGAAGGTGCTTTTTACAGCAAACTATAAAATTACATAGCCCAGTGGTTCTAGGACTAGCAGCCACTCATATCACAGCTTGAATCTCTCACAGATACTAAAAGCAAGTCACATACTTTTAGTGGAACCAGATTATATAGCTATACGTTAATATACATATATCTGTAAAAGCTCTCTTAGCCTGCGAAGCGGACATTCCGAAATTCCGAAGATCCGAAGCATTCACAGCAGAGAACATCAAAGCTGGTTTTGCCGCAAGTGGTTTATTCCCGTTCAATTCAGATAGAGTGCTAAAGACTGCGCCAAAACCCTCAGCCGAACCAACTCCCGTGGTAAGCAACGAAGTATCTTGTGGAGAAGATGCAGTGCTCACATGATAATTTGCCACCTATTACGCGACTTGACACTCTAGCTGAACAGTCTTGGCTTTTTAGGTTTGCTAGGCTCAAGGTATGGTGAAGCCTGCTTCGCCACCTACAATGGTAGTGAGTACTTCATTCTCTGCATGCGTGGCGCAACAGCCATAGCGAAGAAGATTGGTGAAGAATGGACGGAAGTCTACTATTGTTCTCATAGCGAGCTGCAACATTTCACAAAATTTAATATTAGCGTAAAGGGATGCTCATGTCCGAGTAATCCCAACAGCGATGGCAAAGAACAAAGGCTTTTAATTACACTCGGGAATGGTAAACACCTCTCTAGGCATGGTAGTTCTCGACCCTTACTCTAATATACTATATAGTTAATAGTCTATGCTAATTATGACAAAGTTTTCACTTCGTAAAAGTGATTAGCAAGATTTGCACTTAGAAGTTAGTTCAACGAGCCCCTCTTCTGCAAAAACATCAGAGGATTTCGTACTAGGCCTTTGGAATGGTTTCAAATGTATGAGCCCAGCACGGATAGAAAGGCTTATTTGAAAGATACTAGAGACTTGCGAAATGACGCTTAAACAGACACCGCGCGTTCTGCGCTTCTGGCTTCGGAGCTGGACGCCTTCTTTCCTTCCTTATTCATTTGAACTGCCTCGACGCGAACAAACCCGGCGAAGATACTACGTCGTTCACGAGCGGTTTCTATGCTATATGTTTCGGATGCTAGCACTGTCGCGTAGCATACAAGAGCCTGCAAGCGCAATATGAGAATCTTTTCCAGCTCCTTGTCATGTTCTTAAAGGACCTATCCCATGATGGAAATATGATTCGTACCGCTATTATGGATTTTGCTGGTGTCTTGGGAATTCATCCTATGGAGCTACGTTTCCGCAAACCCTAAGCCAGAATTGTAACTACGCCATTTAGCTATGTCAACACTCATGTGGGTGGGGTGTCTAATCATACTTGAGTACGTACTACCGCTCGCACCCCAACCAGATTTATTAGGCAGATAATGTAAGGGACTCGCTTTTGACGCGACACGGTATAAGAGATCCAATTGAAAATCACTAATCAATCGACTACGTGTCTATTTACTATATTATCATTTTAACATAGGTAAACGCATCTCGCCACTTGGTGGGGCTGCTGTACGCCCCCTTCGCACAGCGAAACTGTCAGCATCTACAATTTTGACTACTGGGTATTGCTAAACTCTAAGACTAACTAGTACTCTTGTGCATATCCGAATATTCATTAGAAATGTAAAATAGCATAGGCATGACCCGCACTAGGCATAAAGGTGGAGAGTGAAACCCTTACTTTCTAACCGTGAGGATGATAATAGAATCTGTTAAGGCTGTTTATCTCATTTCACCCTATGCATTGATTGACTGAGTATTAGAACATCAGCATCCTAATTTATTATTGATTACTACCTTATTGCGCAGTTTGTAAATGGTGTGTTGCTGTCGCATATACAGTGATTAGCGATTGCGGCTTCACCCCTGACAGTTATTCCATGGAGAACAAACTTTTGTTCCATTTTTATGGCCCGCGCTCTTGGTTCGCAGGGTGCTTATTCTCTAAGATTTGGAACAAACCCCTCTCGCCTATCCTGACTCTGACGCTGAGTCTCCAACTCCTCTATAGCTGCTGGGAGCTCAAACCAATGACTAACATTATCAGATAGTTCTGTAGCTTCCTGTATAGGTTCGTCTGAGTTTCCATCAGGACTCTCTATCTTATCAGAATTGGTAAATTTGAAAATCATAGGTTATGGAATCTTTTGGGCAGTAAGCGGATATTGGCAATTGCTAATAACCTCTTTAGCAATACTAAATACTCTCTCTACACCTACTTGCGCCATTGGTATAGCTAGAATATCCTTTGCAACTTAGGGAAGATAGGGGTATGTAATGTCACTTACTCTCCACCACTCTAAGATATGGACAGGTTCCCGTAGATCCATGCTAGGGCTACTTAGATATAGGTCCCCTTGTTGATAGATTGGCCCGCTATTCTCCTCAGTTTCTTGACTTGAAGAAGGCTAGCTTGAAAGAGAGATGTGGGTTGATTATGATTAAAGTAAAGTGGGCTTTCGAAACTAGTTACAGCTTAATAACCTCTAAGGAAATAAGTTTAGTGTTGATTGTGTAGTCCGACTATAGCATGTCTGATTAGTATTTAGACTGTCCTGCTGACAGTAGTATTTCCACGACAATATATATTAGTATAGAAAGGCTGATAAAATCATTATTGATATACCTGGTAACTTTCAGAATTTATTTGCAAGTATAGAGAAATATAGTTATACTTACTTAACAAACTACATATAGTTATCCTAGAACTATAATAGAGATCAAAGTGTAGTCAATAGTACTAGAACAACGAAAATAATAGATAACATAACAGTATTAATAATTCATTAAATTTATTCGAATTGTAGTGTTACGAACCTGAGAATGAAGGGGACCTCGCGAAGTTAAGGAAGGAAGCCGCAATTCCCCAACTCCCCAAGACCACAATACCGGCCGCCTAGTACCAACCAATGACGCATGTTCCACACGTCTTGGCGGAACGCCACCATGGAACAAGCCACGTGTGTTCCACGAAGTACCACATGTACCACGATGTTCCACCCATGGAACAATGTACAACAATATGCAACAACGTGGAACAGCCCTAAGTATAGCAATAGGCATTGAGCCCTTATGGCTCGATGTGTTCAACTTAAGTTACGAGGACAAGTACAATATACGATTTACTTGCGAGAACCTTTGTCCACTGCACCCTGACGCTTCATCTGTGAAAACCAACCTCTAGAGCCTTGACACCAGAAGTCTTATATCACTTCCACTCAAGACCCATACTCTTAACATGTAGATTCGAAAAAAATAGTTTAACCGTATATTATAGTTAATTTATAGTAGTTAGTAAAGATGAACCCTAAACCTAACCCTGCATTACTATTACCGCTAACCCTAGTGTCGACCAACCCTACTTTAACCCTTACTCTGGTATTACGTTCTGGAATGCCCCCCCATTCCAAAACTAAACTATGTTGGGCTTAGCGTTAGGGTTCAGCAGAATTCTAGGAGCGTTGAATAAGAGCCAGAATCATGATAGCAACTCGTGCAACTTATATTTGTGATGCAAGAAATTCATGCGCATCGAACAAGCTACTTCTTGTCGTGCTGCAATACAGATAGCGCAAGTCATCCAATAGCGTATGCTGGAGGGTTGGTGTTTGTAGCTGTAGCCCATACTGACCTAGGGTTACGCCTAATACTAAGCGGGGTAGTTAATCAAGTAGCTGAAGACTACCCTCAGCACATACTCTGCTATCCTGCGCTGAGCAGCTACAAGAGTATCCTGTTTTACATACACCTAACATCAGCTTTGTACAAACAGGAGAACATACATAAAGGTGCAACAATGACCGACACTATGCGAGTTGAGTCTCTGGGGCTAAGGCATCCTAAGCATTTTGGCTAGTATCCACAAGCGATGATCTGTGGCATCGCTAACTTGGAGACTAGATGTCCTGGTGTTTGAGATCCTGATATCCATTAGTTGGCTATTCTAACCTCAATTTCCTCCTCTTCTTCATCCTCGTTGTCGCGTTTGCGGCTCAGCAACTTTGCATCGTCGTATTACGCAGCCGTCAAATCGAAACAGAAACGCCGGTCGACCATACTATATATGTATTTCATGCAAACGTAACAACAGGGAAGGATGGGCCACTTGGGATGATGAGCGTGGTGTACGTAACAGTAACCCGAGTTGTTATTGCGGTGACTTTAGTCGACACGATCAGGACGGCATCGGGCGGGGAAGACATGGTTTGGGTTTTTGGACATGCGCGACAGGCAGCTGCGACTACTATTCCAAGTACTTGAATGGCTGGACTAGTTATGCTCCGCAATGTGTTGAGTTCTATCCGTGGCTGCTATAGCATGGGTTTATTGGATAATGTGGACATGTGGACCACCAACAGCACGATGATATATATGAGCATAGGGTAACGGTACATCTTTCGTAGCTTAAATGTACAAGTGTTTCCTCTAAGTCTATAATGACATTGACACTGCAAACGTCGACCTTTCCTCTGAACATGTATACACGGAAGACTCCCTAAGCGACCTGAGTTTGGCAAGTTTCGGTTCCTTCGAAGAAACGTTTTCCTCCATCTGCCTATACCCTACTTTATTCGCAAGATCGTGAGTCATCCACTCTGCATCAATTCCAACCTAGAAAAGAGCCGCAATCCAGTGAGCTTAGATATAATGTTTGAGGTCCAGAACGAATCGAAGCAAAACGCAAGTGAGACTGCGAGGATGGAAGCGGGCTGACAAGGTAGTGGCGTATAGCATAGTTACCATTGCGAAAGCCAGGCTCTACTGGCCGATCGTTCATTTTTTGTGAGTAGTTACCAGTTTTTTAAGTTAATCAGGCGGCCTCTTTGTGTGCAATGTTTGCGTTTTGTTTTCAGGTGAGCACAGGAACAGTACAGCATCACGTAGCCATACTCTCTGAACGGTCAGTCATGGCACTACTTTGTTGTGAAATGCCTCATCGTTAGTGTCTTGATACCAAACAGCGTTAGGATCATCTCGCACCATTCATCTTGCATAAACAGAAGAGCGACAGGTTGATTAAATGACATGAGATGATTTATCAGATGATTTGCCTGAAGGGTTTAGTTCTTCTCAGAATCGCATATTGAAACACTAATCTTGAAAGTCTACCTTCTAAGTAGATGATACCAAATAGATACTTTGCTAAGTTTAACAAATGTCACTATTGTTCATTCTTTGCGCTATCAAGTTCACTTTTACAAATGCGCTTATGGCTCCTCCAGTCAGACTTTTGACAGTTCGAGGAGCAATACTTAGTGATATGACACGCGCTACATCTCAAGAGTTTTCCTCCACCAATAGATTTTCCTTTACTACATACTGTACAACCACCTTGTGCTGGGTCTAGATTTAGTAAACCATCGAATGGCGGGTCAATCATGGGAACCGAGAATATTGGGGATATAGCCGCTCCAGTAACCAACCCACGTACATCAGCCCAATTTGGAACATCTGGAACAAAATCTTCGGGAAGAAAGCCACGGCCACAGGCACAAAATACATCGTTGACGCCATCTTGAGTGTGTTGAATGTACCCTGCATCACGGTTGCATGCAGGATGGTGTTTCCAGATCCTACATCTCTCCGCAAACGACGGCAGGGTCTGCCTCCAAAGTTTAAGTTCCTCATCATCGACTCTAATACTGCAAAATCCTTTCTCAGTGACCGCTGACAAGAACCTTGCAATACGGGGGACGAGGCTCTTGGTGATTGGCAATACACCCGTGTCAAGCACAACAGTTTGACTACCAAGATCTAGTCTTATGCAAGACACAAAAATGAGAACGTAAACTCCACCTCCAGTTGGATTGTCCAAGCCGAATATGTGTGATTGTCTTCCCTGAATTCCAGTGAAATGCATGAATAGAGAGAACAGTGAGTCTTTGAAGCCCACTCGGGCATCTGGCGATATGGCACTCGCCACGGACAAGGATTGTTCACGTAGTCTTCGTTCGTGTTTGGAAAACATACCTGTTACGTGCGGCGACAGCCATTTGAGTTGACCATGGCGATTCCGATCCAATATTGGTAACAGTCTCATGTCGACACGATGTACATTGGCAGTTCTCTCCCATATACACGAGGGAGAAAACGCTAGAAAGCTCCTCCATACACTCCAATGGAGAGGTGCCTCCACTTCTATGTAAGAAGACTTTCTTGCAATGCGGGTTTTACTTCTATCACCACAGACTGGAACCGGGAATGACGACAAAATCTGGGCATCCTTACCGTTGAAGGCAATTCCAAGGGCGCATGGGGCTGTTTGTGTTGTCTTTACAGCACACCCACTTCTCAAAGAATGTTTCAGTCTTTCTGAGAGAAGATCCACACGACCAGAAAGGGCGGTAATTCTTCCCTCTGGTTGCAGAACGATCGCGGAAAAGGTCGTTTTAATCTCTCCATGTGCCAATTCAGACGATTCGTGCTCGGATCTACTGAAATAGTGACCGGATGCAATGCTGGTCAGATTGGGTGGATGTTTTGAGATATAAACACATTCGTCGTTCCCCAATGTCGTTTCGAATATGTTCATCTCGAACCCCAATGATCGAATGAACTTAGTACAGGTCTGCGGTGTACTCTGCAGTCCAAAAGCTATGATGGCAGTTTGCGGCTTAAGCAGGAGGAGCCAAGATGGGGTCATGAATGAGACCACAAGTGGAGATTTACCCTGCCACCTCAAGTCGTCCTCAGAGATCTGGATTGCATATTCGTTGCTATGAATCTCGCCAACGGTCGAGATCATACCAAACGCAAGTTGGATTCCAGAGAAGATATTTTGCCAGCGCCCGACTATCGAACTCGAAGATGACTGCACGATACAGTGGCTGATTGGAGTACCGACATCTGTTGAATCAAGACCAGTCAGAGCGCTCAGCTTGTTTCTTGGCACTTTTAGGGTTATGCAAACTGTTTTCGGAAGGTCCTTCCATCTGCCGATTCCATCTCCAGCCGGAGTCACCACATGACCTGGTTGAGTAAATATCTGTGCGGAGTAGATGTTCAGGGTATGGAGGTAGAGATAGAGCTCTTGGATATAATTCCTTCCCATTGTGATTGTAGAATCGTTTTCAATTAGTCCAAGAATGCGGTTCATCACATCATGCCAATTCACAGTAACCCGATTTCTAAGTCGATGGAGAAACACAGCAAAGCTACCACGATGGTAATGCAACGTGGAGCTTCTTTTGATCTTGAGCATGTCGAGGTCTTTGAACAGTGACAGTGCGTTCTCGTGCTGGAACATATTGCGGTAGACACTGTGAAGGATGTGGGCCAAATCGGCTTCGTTGAATCGTAGTCTCGGTTCTATCATCCCCGAATTTGCAGTTGAAAGCGAACCATGGCGCTTCCACGTCAACTTGATGCGCATCTGCCCACGGCCACTACTACCAGTCGCGCGAAATGTCTGTTCGAGCGTGACCTCGTCAGCTGTAGACGAACTAGACGCGTTGGTCCAGTACTCGACAGGGAAGAGATCAAGCAACAGTGACATGGTGGCAAAATCTACACAAAGTATGGAGTCAGTGTATGCTCGATGATCTTTTTCTCTCCTTACCAGTGACTCCGTGTACAGGATAGAAGACGTATCTTTTTTCAGCAATGGCGATACTGCTGACAGTACGTTGAGAGCTCCCACATGATCGATGAGGTTGGATGTATCAATGACGTTGAATCTTAGGGGTGCTCCATGTGTGGTGCTGTACTCCTTTTTGTCGAGCTCGATCGGACTCAAGTGGTGGACATCTCGATAGACATTTCCTGACCAATCATGCCCAGATAACTCGAGACGATGCAGAGCATGTGCGAAAGCGATCGCATCTCCCGCAAAGAACCGAATGGTTAAGTTCATCTGAGAAGACAACCGAAATGCGTGACACCATGTTCGAAACTGAAATTGTGCTGCCTCTATAACGCGAAGCGGAAGCGATCTTGCTAAAACCCCGTTGAAGCAGTGTCTTTTACTGGTGCAAATGCTGTTGCAAGATGAAAGCCCAGAAGCAGATCCGTTCCATAGTGGAGCGTAGGCGCTCCAATGGTATGGAAAGCAAACAAAGGGTTTGGAAGATTTGTTTTTGCCAAGAACTCAGCATCTTGGCTTGTGCTCCCATACTTTCAATAGTGTTGATACAACACATGGGCGTTCTCCGCGTATGCGATACCGACCGGGGCTGCAGAACGTATTCCTGTAGTCACGTATGCATTTTCGCCCCCAACATAGTATGCCTTCACCTCCTTAGCGCGCTGGATCGTCGATTCGAGAAGTCGATTGAATACAGTTCTTGTGTTCTCATTTGAGTCTTGCATGCAATATGACCTCCATAAGGCTCTTACTCGGGTGAACGTTGAGAGATCACAAAACCTCAGTATGCTGCCATATTTTGTTCCATGCCATGCATCCAGCGAGTTTGACACAGAAGCCAACTCTTTTGCCTGATCAGTCAGGATTCTTAGGGAGGATTCGTCCAGGTAGAAATGGTAGTAGATATCCCAAATCATTTTCTGGCGGCTGCCATCAGTGTCCGCGAGAACAAGCGAAAAAAGTAATATGTTCCTTGCTGTTGCACATGGATGCACTTGGCCACTGGGCCGCACGATTCAAAGGTGACACACGTGATCGAGAGTTCATTTCAGCTGCATGATGAAGTTGCTATCGTAAGCGGAAAGGATGGCCGACAGCGCCGGTCCTCATCTCGTGTGTACATAAACGCACAAGTCAAATTACTTGATCAACTTACTCTACGAAGTAAGTGTCGCAGCCTATGTATGCAAGGCCGCAGAATCAATGACTTCAGCTGAGCCCAAGCAACAAGCCAATGTAACGGCAACAAAGATGCATTGCACCAACAAGAAAGAAGCAATGGCTACACACCACAGATGAATGGAGATGGTAGATAGCAAAAACAATACATTGAACATATTTTCACCGCACCTCCGTGTGCGACACTGTCTAACCCAAGAGGCGAATGCAAAGCCCTGCCGGGCATATCTGCAACTTCTCCACCATGTTGGATTATATCGAGCAAATCGATGTTTCCCCTCGTTCACCCTTGCTACATACCATCTTCCAGCATTATGTACACTGCTGTGTCATCGTTACAGAATGTTTACACTCTTGATTGCGCTCACGAATAGTAAGCAAGCACCAAGGATGTAGCCGAAACGCTGCACGGCAATCCTTCCAACCACGCTACGGTCATGTGACATGCACAGTAATCAGTATGCCTTGGCACTACTGAGAAAACAGGAGAAAGGAAGTGTTACGCGTATGTACTCCGTACACGTATGGATACGCACGTGCGTGCAAGACATAGTACTCGTCCCACTGCATGGGACTAGGCCCAATGCAGTGGGACGAGTAAGGGGCTAAAGACCTGCTAGAGTAGGAAAAGTCGCAAGGAGTGGCGAGATGAATTTACAGGGGTAAAACGCGCTATCCGACCATAATTCCCTTTCAACAATAATTTCGTTTAGCATATTGCGTAAAGCAGCTAGTATATATAGAAGTAAAATAACTAGTAGATAAAGAGTAGAGTACAGCAGATCACAATAATAAGATCAGACTACTAGATCAGATTAATCCAATTCTTATCTCTCTCCCCTAGCATTATTTCTTCTTTACTAAGAATCTATCGACTAGCTGCCTCTGAGTCTACTAGGAACAAGTAGAAGGCAGAGACCTTTACCTCTGAGTTCTATTAGAACAAGCAGCTACTTCCACCCACTTTTTCTAACAATACTTCTAGAGCTTCTATAAAAACTCGTCGTAAGCGCTGCTACATTAGCGTAAAGGTAGATTAAGTGCGGGGATATCTACATCTATGTGCAGCTTTATCGTGTCGCTTAATAATTGTAAGACGCTAATAAGAGCTTCTAGCTCTTCGATAAGATTGCGCACTTGCTTAGGATAGGCTTTAAAGCTCTGTATCGTTTTGTAAAGTGTAAGGCATGATTTGTGGGCGAAAATGACTAACGTTAAGACACTAGAAGCAAGGTCTATAGGCTCAGCCATCGCAATGATAGGTGTGGCGATAAGTTGAACGTATTGGACGATGATCTATGGGACCGAAGTTAGGTTAAATAGGCTTTCGATCAAGTGCATCGCGTCACAAGGCGTACGAACTGCATAATCGATTGGTCCGTGTCGCCGGTTGGATAAGCGCTGCTAGTCTCGCTTAGGACGGCCGGCGGTTATTTTAGCATGCCAAGGAAGCTATGTAACGAACTGCTCCCATTGCTTCGCGTTAAAGGCGGCATCTAACTGTAGCTGCTCACTCTTCCTGTACTGACGGAACCCTTTTATCGTTATTTCTTCAGGTCTTATAGAAAGCACGGTTAGCTTATCTTCTTTATGAACGCATTCCGTTCCGTATGGCTATGCACTCTTATATTGTCTTTCCTGGGAATTGAACTACGCTAGTTACTAGAGGACGCACTATCTTCCTGCTGCAACGGGCTCTGTTTCGAAATGACATGACTTTGACGCTGCCCAATCGCCTGAAGCGTAGAATCAGACATTTGCCCTAGCAACTGTGTAGACCTTGCACCAGCCGAAACTCGTCGAGCGTTAATCAAATCCCCGACTGTTGACACGATAACTTGGTGACCATCTTCTCCAAGCGACACTTCATCGAACATGTTGACTCGCTCCGCGGATGCGTCTTCAGAAGCTTTAGCGCAAACTGCTAGGCTCCGTTTGATGCTGTTAATTTCTTCTCGCATTTTGTCTTGTTCGTTGGAGTTTGGATGAACAAAGGTCTGGCCCTGAAAAGCGTCTAAACGGCGAAGAACGTCCGCAAGATGTATTCTAAGCTGCGACGATGTATAGGCAAGCCTCTCCTTACAATCATCTAGGACGGTGATTGTAGCTCGTTGGGCTGAATTGGCAGAGCTGTCAACGTCGGTCTGACTGTTATACTCTTCTGTGAATGTGAGCATGCTTTGAGACACATTTGACTGCCCTTTTTCGATATGCGATGACATTTCGGCGCATATATCGAGACATTTCTGTATGCTATCACGCTCGAGCTGGATTTTTTGTTGGTCTGAGTTCGTCTGACAACCACTTGAGCCACCAGCGACAAGATGTTGTAGCTTGCTGTCAATCCTCTGCAGGCTATCTTCGAGATCCGACACCGTGTTTTCTATCAGCTCTTGATATTCGTTGAGTGCCTTGGCTGTGATGGTAGCTTTTCGCCTGTCGTATAAGAGATTAGCCTTGTTCGTAACATATCAATGTTTACTTACAAGTTCGCATCACAGAGAGCGATAGTGATTGTAGACTTGTAATTAGCCAGTAAGGCTTTGAACCCGTCGATATCGTCACCCAGATATTTCAGTTTTGCCCAATCTCGAAAACTTGCTAGAGAACCATGAGATTGCTTAGTGGCATCTCTGACAACCATGTTGAATTCTATACAAGCACTTCCACATCTGAAGAGAGGAAGTTTCAAAGGTGTGAAGTCTGCCTCATTATCTAGAATAGCTTGGTGTATAGACGCCAATACTAAACTCAGTGCATCTAATTCTGTCTTCAGCTCTCTTACATGTTTATGATGACTGTTGAATTCTTTGAAGGTCTGATACAACATGGAGCTCGACTGAATACCGAAGGTGACTAGCGTAATAATGGCCGATGCCGCGCTGATTGGATCCGCCATCTTGAGAACAATGGAAATGGTGTAAACGTAGTGTAAAACGACGTTGAGAAGTACGGTTCGATGACAGCGCGATGACGCGAACAAAATTTGCCATTTGTGGGGTAACATAGACAAGTAAGTGGGTCGAGATCATGTGCGTAGCTGCACCCTGCTAGCGCCTGATGGGCGCCTTCCAAGAAAGAGCCAATCAAAACGCGTTTTGAATGCAGGGCTCGCGGCATGCTTGCTGCCATGCTAGAGTGGGATTATAAGCCTAGGCAAGACATCTTTGTTCCTTATGCTCACTCTACCACTCTCAGAATGGTCGATTATTCCTCATGACGCCCAACAGACAGGGGGTGCTGTTGAAGAGTCGATTGACGACGCCGTCGAGATGATCAATAACCAAGCCCAGCACCGCAGCAATCCCTGTCGGAGACGACTCGACTTGACAGATGGTTGATGGAGAGTTTTAAAGCTTTTTTTAGACCTCTTCAAGTTTGATAGGAAGCATGTCCGGATGTCTGGAGCGTGAGCCTGTCTCACGACGTAGTATAACGTTCGTCCCTATGCAACGAGACACCCGGTGAGCCAAGAACGACCGATGATAGTGTAAGGATGACAAGTTCTTCAACAAAGTGTTGTACCTCATTAGCTCTTCTTGACCCACTGAGTTTCTCGCTACACTAGGCAGGATATCATCTCTGCACTTAGGTATGCACCTTAGGCTAAGGATATCACTCTAGGCTTGACGAAATATGGGATAGCATATAGATCACAGTCAATTGCAGGAGGGGTTTTGTTGCTGGTATGAAGTGTTGATTTACAACATGCACTGACAGCAGGCAAGCATTGAGGTGATGGCTATGTTTGAATACTAATAGGAAATTTAGCGGCACTATGCTTGTAGACATGCTATTCAACCCTGGACAACGTGCTGATTAGCCGTAGGAGTAGCAGCATTTAGAAGCAACTAAGTTTCCAGCACCTGCCCCTGTGTAAAATGATGAAGTAGATCCATTTCTGCACATATAACTGCCCACCTGCTCCTTAAAAGTACTGGATACTTCCTTGAGGCCGAGGTGCCATAGTCCTCCCCCTCCTTCTGTCAAATGAGTAGCAGCGGAAGTCGCAGAATATGGGTGTGGATTGGAGCACTAGGATTCTGTATACAGCTAGTCAGAGCCTTGGTGACAGGGCTACCTGCCTAAAGCCCAGACTGAAACAATAGAGGCCCCAAAGTGTAACAAGTAACATGCCATCCACAAGAGACGCGCGGGCGTGTCTCTGGGAAAACAAGAAAAAAAACCCACTTTCACCATCAATTTATTGACCTTGATAACCCATCGCAATCTGACAGTGGCATTACTAACAAAGTTTATGCTTCCGACAGCTGCGCAGTTTGCAACATCTACCATGACCATTAATGCAGTCAATCACGGTCGGTCTCAGATTACTGACTGATGAGGCAGAAGACTAGCAAACGCAACTTAGTGTTGTAAAAGGAGGAGAGCGATCAGGCCTTAAGAACGCAAGTAAAGAGCTTGAAAGCTGATGTAAATTGGATAAAATTTCTTGTTAAGTAAAATAGTTAGAAGCAACCCTTTAGTATCAAAGCTGACGTTCTAGTTAGAAGCTATAAGATAGACCAAGTCCTGGGTAAGAGGAACAAGGACGGCGGCAGCTAGAGTATCAAGAAGCTATAGTAGCTAGCAAAGTGTAAGGCTAACTAATTGCTCTGATTAGCTTATAGTAAAGGGATTTACACCATAACTATGACTGACTTGAATTTTTTTTTCTCTGTTTGCTATATAGCGTATCAGATCAATTATCTTAGAAAAGAATAGCAGGCCGCACCCTAACCTGCCGAAATTAGGTATTAAAGAAATAACTACAGTTAAAGTAAAAAATCAGGTAAGAGTCTGCGAGATCCTGCTTTAAACCCTTAGAAATAGTTTAGTAATACTACTAAAATATTATAAATCTCTTAATAGGTATATAATAATAAGGCATAACTCTATTAGGTATAATAACTATAACAAGGTTGCGATAAAGGTAGTAGAACAGCAAACTATAGTTATAATAAAAACACGTAGTATAGCGAAGCTCTCTAATATCTATAAATTCGCTATATCTTTAGTCTATCTATCTTATCTTATTCTATCTTATCCCAACTACGGATTAATTCCGACACTATCTTAAATCTATCTATTTAAAAATACGATTCTTCTCCTAGCTATAATCCTAGCAGTTATCTCGTTCTAAGCTAAGCCTATTAGAAAAGCTATCTATCTCTATAAGGCTCTCTTCTACTACGATAAATACCTTTTACTCTCCTCTACCTAAGTATATACTAAGAGATCTAAAATAATATATATCTATCTAGTTAAAGTTTAATAGATCTATACGATAATAGTAGTGTAGACCTCTTCTTAATTGTAAGGGGCTGCGCTCTAGGGAGTAATTACGAGGTATATAAGAGGTTATATTTAATAAAGAGCTAAGCTCCAAAGCTATATAGCTATCTATATATAAGCTAGTTACCTAAGTAATAATTGGGCCGGTAAAGTCTAGGTGCACGAGGCAGCTTCTAGGTTCTGCGGCTATTGTCTGAACGTCGTTCGGGCGGTGCGCAGAGAATCTGGGTGCTTGAGACAGCACCCGGGTTCTGCGAGTAGGCCAAGATTCCATCGAGGAGCTATCCAAAGGGCGTTCAGCCCGTTACATTAGTATTAGTATTAGTAGGTTAGAAGATAGTTATACTACTCTAATTAACTATATAAATACGCTTATAGTATATAAAGTAAGTATAGAATTAATACGTTATATTAAGAGACTAAGTAAGGAGACTTATAAGTAGCTAAAGGCTAATATAATACGTATTAAAAGTGCTATTACTACACTAAATCCTAAGAGGGAGTAGAGGAGGTTTAGAGAATAGTTTTAGAGTAAGGAGAGCTTAGTATAGATAGGGGCGACGCTCTACTTTATTTAGAGGCATCTAAGGGCGGTTAGGAGGGATAAGCTGGAGGAAGTCGCATAATGTGTCGTAGGGGGTGGATCAGGCGTGTCGCTCGTGTCGACGCGTGACGGTATCGATGGGTTGCGGGCGTGACGGTGTCGATTGGTGGAGCGGAGGATGGGTGCGCGGTAGTTGCTGCTTACTAGTTGTAATCAATCTCAGAATTCTTTTCTCTCAGAAACTCCACTCAGAAAGGCCGGAGCCAAACATCATAACTATAAGCAAGCAATTGTTCGTCTTGGTCGAG